TACTTACTTACTTACTTACTTACTTACTTACTTACTTACTTACTTACTTACTTACTTACTTACTTCCTAGCTCGCTCGCTTTCTCGCTTGCTCGCTTTCTCGCTTGCTTGCTCGCTTTCTCGCTTGCTCGCTCGCTTTCTCGCTCTCTCTCACACACACACACTTTCACGCACTACACTAATACACATGTGTGCCAGCCCGGATGGGGTGGTGCCTCCCCCAAGGCAACGAGCTTGCGGCAGGATCCCTCCCCCAAGCCAACGAGTAGATCGGCACCGGATAAAACGAACAGCGGACGAGGAACACCGCCTCCTCCAGCGACGTACGGGGTCATAATATTTGATAATAGTGCCTGAAAACCCTAAATACGCACTCACAGTTTTCTGAAACGATGGTTTGTAAGCTTCATGGCTGATCAGCGCATAAAAAGAATTAAAATCACTCACTCCCCTACCGCCATTCACACGTTCGCACCCGCCAACCGCGAACCTCCTCTCGCACCGCGGCCAATCGTCCCTCACTGCCCAGCGCAACGCCCAGCGCCCAGCGCCCAGCGCCCAGCGCCCAGCGCCGCGCGCCATCACGTTCGTGCACACAGCGATTACTGGGCCGCCGAGAAGAAGCAACGAATCCACCTAGCGCGCGATGGGAGAGCACGCGATTCGCTACTTTCTGGGAAACACCCGCGCAGATCCGTTATTGCTGCCGAGAGACCATTTAATAGATTTTTAATCAACAAAACGCTTTTTGAAACCTGTAAATAGAAATATTGATTTTTTACTGTTGGGCCTAAAACCGTCAAGATTATTACTTTGATAATTTTCTTTCAATTTTATTGATTGGTATAAACGCAGCAACGGTGTTTTTCTCTATTAGAGAACTTACTTAATGGGACCGACGACAGTTTTATTTTTGCATGCCAATTTTGAGTAACTCCTTCTATCTCGTGAATTGAAACCTACTGTGAGTGAAAAGAATGGAAGACGTGCAGTATAGAGAAGGTTGGAGAAGGTCCTTAGGAAGTCTGAAGTTGCAGCCAGCACTGAACTTACCTCTCCGTTTCTGGCCGACGCGAAGGTACGCTGCTCCGTCTTGCGCACCATCACCACGCGGCTCTGGCCGCTATGGAAGTCGTGGCCATGGGTGGAGCTGGGGATGCGGTTTAGGTCCATGAGGCCGTTGAAACGAACACACGACCTGTGGGCAAGGCATCGCGCCCGAGGGCCCGCTGACGACACGTTCACCGAGAGCATGACGGCGGCGGCGGATCCGCAGGACGCGGGCCGACTGAGCGACGGAGCGCGCCAGCGCCACCGCCCGCGCCGCCCGCGCCCCCCTCTTTGCCCCACCCGGCCGTTCCGGAAGGCTGCCGGCCGTGGCTACCTCACCCCGTCTACAGCAGGACGCGCACACTTCCTCCCACCCGCTCATTGACTCGTTTTCGACCACTGCCCTCCCGTCGTTGCGCATCGCCGCTGGAACGCTGCTGCCCTAAGGACACGCGCGCCGAGCACGTTTTCGTTCTGCATCAGCACGTCACACCGGCGAACAGGGAAGCAGGTCGATCGACAGCTTATGTTTGTACTCTTTATTCTCCGTGCGCTACATTGCTTTCATTTACTGTTAATACGGATCACGATGTCACCATTGCAATGGGTATTGTTATTCTCAATCCCAGAATTATCTTCACAGCCGATATCGTTAACTTTATAGTCAGATTCATTAATGCTATTTTTCACAAGAAGATTCCATGATGTAGCACACATATTTACATCTTAAACACAGCATTATAATATGCATCTTGTAGAACAGCGTGTCCCACAATGTTTTTCGAAACTTTCTTTAACAAGAACAGAGTAGTGTTTGTAGAAATAATTAGAACTGATGCACCTACAATGATATATTAATATTTTTTAATGCTGATACTTCTTCAAAAATTTGAAAATTTTCTATTCTTGATTTACTATTATGCCACTAGGCTTTTCGTGCAAAGTTGAAGGTTCATATTAAGTTGCAACCAAAGGTTCCTAGAAGGTTCTTTTGTAATGTCTCCAGTTGTACGTTTATTATGGTATTTCTAAACAATTACTATCTCTATTTTGCATATTCTTCACTCCTCCCTTGTATTTGTTTGAATAAGGACTCGATTTCACAGACACAATCATAATTAAAAACACATAATTACTATCGTTACAATGCCTGTTATTCTTTAGCAAAACTATAAAATCACGATTGTACATCGTTTGGCGATGCAAATTCGATTTCTACAATATATTCGAAATTTTTTTAGGTTTCAAATTTTGCCAACCACGCTTTGTTGGTACCATTATTTACCATTCAATTATGTATAGAAAAAAGGATAAGTTAGGGATTCTGGGGCTAATTATCCTTCTATCCCATACGTGATATACAGCTTTTATGTTTTAGATTTAGATTTATTTAGTCAAAAAACAGTAAAAACTGTATGTGACGTATGAGGGAGAAGATCTGCGCACGTTTTGTTAAGTTCCGGAATCTCTTCCCAACATTTTAATTATAAATAGTTAAAGGATGACTATACGTTATAAATAAATAAATAATAAATAAAAATAAATAACAATAAATAACAATAAATAACAATAAATAAAAATAAATAAAAAGTAAATAAATTAAAAGTAAATAAATTAAAAAGTAAATTAATTAAAAAATAAATTAAAAAGTAAATAAAAATAAATTAATTAAAAAATAAATTAAAAAGTAAATAAAAAATAAATAAATTTTAACAACATTAGCGACATTAGAAAATCTAGACATTTCGTTCCAGAGTTATAAAAAAACGTATTGCAACGATAAACGAACTGCACGTTTGATTTGCACGCGAATTTGACACTTCTGAAATGGTACTCTTTGTTTTTTTCGTTTTTGCGCCATTCTGACCCCATTCCTACTGCCCGAAATGAAGCAGCGAGCCTTTGGGGTTAAACGTCATTTACTGATATACAAAAAGAGATTGCCAAAAGCATTACAGAAGTGTTTAGAACTCTATCCTTACGAAAAGAAACCTTTTAAGATGTTAAGTTGACACTAACGATTTTTGGGCCAAAGGACCGAGTGGAAGTAGCAAAATAGCGCTGAGGCCCAGACTAATTTTCTCCCTATCACACCTAGGGACAATACAGGATTCCAAAGGGGTGTAACTCCTACCAGTCTCCCTCATTGCAACGACGATGTTTGTTGTAGATGCATGGGCCATTGTCTGGGTGATAAACCATTAATTATGAAAGGTGATTCAGCAAGTGCGAATACCCATGGGACTCTAGCCTTTCATTGCGCCAAGAGAGGAGCTGCGGCACTCCTCTGTAAGACACCTAGGCAGAAAAGTTTATTAATATAATAATAATAATAATTATTATTATTATTATTATTATTATTATTATTTTCCTCTACATCACGACTAAGATGTTATGAGTCGGCTGACTCCAAAATCTACCCCAGGTTGCAACCAGCTACCTAAGGAGCAGGCCTAGTCCATAGACGGTGCCTTTACGATACTTTTTCGGAAAATGTATGCTGTTCCAAATAAACAATTTCTTACACTTGACATTGTCTTGAAGGACCTGTGAGTTAAGCCAAGTACTTACACAAATTTTGCGGGACAAATCCTAGGGCTCCGATGACTATTGGCACGACCTGTGCTTCTACGACCCACATTCGTCCGATCTCGATTTATGAACAATTGAATCTAAGACTTTTCTCTGCCTCCTCGGTTACGGCGTTTTGATTGCAAGGCACAGCAATATCTAAATGTAGACACGACTTTTTCTCCAAATCCGGGATAACAATATCCAGTTTATTTGCTGCTATCGGGCGATCTGTTTGAATTTGTTGGTCGTACAATATTGTATAGAGTCGAACAGATTTCACCGGCTTTAATGAGTGTTCGTACCACTTGGGGCATGTGTTTTGAACTTCGAGTGCGGTACATATCTGCCAGTGGAGGTAACTACACACCCTGTCGTGTCTTTTCAAGTACTCGGTCTTTGCTGGAATTGGACAAGTTGAGACGAAATGATCAATGGTTTCTACTTGTTCCTGGCAGATACGGTATTTATCATCTTGGGAAATTTTGAGAACCACTTTATCATAATGTCGTGTTCTCAACGCCTGATCCTGAACAGCTATTAGAACTGCTTCCGATTCTGGCTTCATTCTTCTACCTTTAAGCCACATAAATGATTTATCTTTATTTATCTGCACCTTGTGCATGTTTTAGATATTGTCCATGCAGTGGTTTATCTCTCCACGATTTATTTAACATTTTTTGTGTCTCACATTTCATGTTTAGTAACATGAGATGTTCAGTGTCTGTGTTATTTTTCGGTCTTGCATAGTGCATTGCTTCTCCTACGTGCGATTCTATGCAATGCTTCTTGCTACACTGACAATACCTCTGTTTCCCATTGTTTGGTCAGATTTCATGGCCTGCCTCATTAGAGGGTCATCTTGATGACTGACTACATACTATTCCATCCCAATTATTGCATTGTTCCAGAAGGCTTCAATTTGTCTGAGGTTTCGTCCTCCTTTACGTGACACAAAATGTACACATAGGGTGAGCGACATGATGCAGTTATCTATTTTTTCGATCCATGATTCGAATTTCTTGCTCAGTATAGTACAGGAGTCCGAAACTGTTCTTGACAACAGGCATCGCCAAACTCCCAATTGCAGATATTTTATTCCTGGAGTCCAGGGCGAACTGCAGTCGAGTCTCATTCTCCTGCAATACTTCCTACGAATTATCTCCTTCACTGTGTCGTTCGAGATGGTCTCACATTCTTTAATGCCCAGATATTTGTAGGTTTTACCTGGCTGAAGATCTTGAATCACAGTGTGCAAATCAACTTCAATGCTTTCTGACATTGTCACTTTGCGTCTCTCTCTCTCTCTCTCTCTCTCTCTCTGTCTCTCTCTCTCTGTCTCTCTCTCTGTCTCTCTCTGTCTCTCTCTCTGTCTCTCTCTGTCTCTCTCTCTGTCTCTCTCTGTCTCTCTCTCTGTCTCTCTCTCTCTCTCTCTCTCTCTCTCTCTCTCTCTGCTTTTAGTAGTGGTTTCCTGTTTTAATACGTGAGCCACGAAATATCGCACTGTTTTCCAGTTGTCTCTGGATTGCAGAATAGTCTGGACTGTGTTTGCAGGCGTTAATTCCCGTCGCAATTTGCTATAGCATTTTCATTCTTTCTTCTTCCCAAGCTTTCAACTATATATCGTGTGAATAGCGTCGTCGTCTTCTTCATGGCATAGTGCGCATATCGGGCTTTCAGCGATTTTAAATCTGTATAGATATGCTTG